CGCCCAGCGCCCCCCCCCCCCCATGATGTCAGACATACAGGAGGAGCCATCAAAGTGATTGTCACCGGTCACAGATCCCTTTTGCAGGATAATTTATTTAGCTGTCTCAGTAATGTCGATTTGTTGACCTCAGAGCTTCTGGTCTTCCCGGCCAGCACTGAAATTAACTCTGTATGCCGAAAGCAGTCTTCCTCAGGCTGTAAAAAACCCCACTGACCACTGTTTGGAGTTGTTCAAAACACCCCGACGTCCAAAATTTACAGAGTAATTGTGTGTACAGACAATGATGTCATAGTATAATATATCATGACGGTCGTTATTATTGCTGCTACAACAATTTTGCAATTTGTAGCTGTGCCCCTGGCTGGAGAATAAGGTCAGCATGACAAAACATGTAATCACAAAACATGTTATAATCCGATTGTACAATCTGCTTTAGATCTGTAGTGCAAGGGCCTGCCTGATTGGATAGACTAGGTAGGTCCTCATTTTATGCAGTGTTGGTAAATCTAAAGTGGATTGTACACAGATTGTATAGTGTATGGTGAGCCTAAGGGTTACAATCTAAGCATACAATGTTTGTACAATCAACTTTAGATTTGCCAAAACTATGTAATGGGAGGACCTACCTAGTCTATCCAATCAAGGAGGCCCTTGTACTATATAATTCCTGGTAGATCTAAAGGAGATTGTACAATCAGATTGTAACATCCATGGTGAGCCTAACACAAATGGGATGTGTGACACAGACATGTCACAATGATACTATTGTGTGTCACCAGCGTGCACTGGGCAACACAGACGTCTCTGTTATCAGCAAGGCAGCAGTGAGGATGAAACACCAACATGACTGAATGGAGTGTGTGTCGCCGAGACAACCTGGTGCCATACGGCTGTGTGTCACACTGGGTGAATGTCGCGTGATGCAACTGTATGGGTGAATGCGAATGGCGTGTGTTATGTCCATCTTTACGATCTGCTTCCCATGTGCTTGTATGTGTTACACAGACACGGAGCTGGATGCATACCAGGTGAGAGCATGCACTGACCACCCAGAGCCCGCTCTGACCACCTGAGAGCCCGCTCTGACCACCTGAGAGCCCGCTCTGACCACCTGAGAGCCCGCGCTGACCACCTGAGAGCCCGCGCTGACCACCTGAGAGCCCGCGCTGACCACCTGAGAGCCCGCGCTGGCCACCTTAGAACCTAAACAGCCTCCTGAGAGCCTGCACACACACCCTGGAGGCATCAGGCCTTGAACCAGGAGCAACACAGAGTATGTAGCTTCTTAGTATTCTGCATTGCTGTAAAATGTGTTGCTAGCATTTGCAGTCCTCTATAGCTGGTGGTGATCTGCAGTGCTTACCAATGTATTGCTGGGAGTTGTAGTCCTCTATAGCTGGTGGTATTCTTCAGTGCTTACCAATATATTGCTGAGATTTGTAGCCCTCTATAGCCGGTGCCATTCTGCATTGCTTTATAATGCATTACTGGGATTTGCAGTCCTCTATAGTTGGCGGTATTCTTCATTGCTGTGTAATTTATTGCTGGGATTTGTAGTCCTCTATAGTTAGTGGTATTATTCTGTATAATTTATTGCTGGGATTTGTAGTCCTCTGTAGCTGATGGTATTCTCCATTGCTGTGTAATGTATTACTAGGTCTTGTAGTCCTCTATAGTTGGCAGTATTCGGTATAATGTATTGCTGGGATTTGTAGTCTCTGTACAACTTGGAGTCAGGGACATACCTACTAGGCCCACAGCTGCTGCCGGGCCCTAGTGCTCCACCACTGACTCCAAACTGTAGAGAGACTACAAATCACAGCCCAGACAGGAAGAAGAAGGCCCTGGTGACCGTCGACATTTCCTTAAAAAGGCCCACAAAATCCTTAGCACCAGGCCTGTGATGCTCTTAAGCGGAGAATGAACTTTAATTAGGGGCGGGGCATTCATTTAAAATGGGAATGCTTCTACAATGCGAAGTTGTGGACAGGGAAAGTGTGGCAACCTAGCAAGCTAACACACATTAAATTTATAGGACAACATCATGGGACTCTGAACGTTCTGCAGAGTATTGTGACACCTGCCGCTGATTGGTTGAAGGTTTTTGGTAGGTGGCAAATATCCTGTGTAATAACTCTGTAGCTTTCGCCACTGGCAACCATATATTATAAAGTACCCTAATGACAATAAAAATAGATATCTGCAATGTTCACCAATGGGTATACATGGACACACTCCCACAGTGCCGTAGGGAGGCGAATGAGGCTCTTGCCTCGGACGCAGGTGCGCGCAGCCAGGGCTCAGCACAAAAAACTGAGAAGCACTGAGTGGCTGGCGGCTCTCTCTCTCCTCACCACTCGGCCATGCTGCTGTGACAGCAACTCCCTCCTACGCATAAAATGAAGCCCGCACATCGCTGCCTCTGAAAAGCTTAAAACTAACTATTGTTCCAGCAGAAAAGAGGACAATATGATCAAGCACATCTCAATGACGCGTTTCACCCCCTAGCTAATCATAGAGCCAGGAAGGGGTGAAATGCATCAGGGATGCTTTGTGGAATGTCCTCCTTTGTGCTGGAACACTAAGGTTGGTTTTGAGCGGAAGTAGAGGTTTTCTGAACGTGCAAACACAGAACATTTTGGTTAAACAACATTTATTTTAATATTTATGTTGTGGGAATAGGAGGAGGGGGGAGGGGAATTGAGGGCAGTAATAAAGGAGAGAGGGGGAGAGGTGATTTATTCTATTGTCCCTGGTCACGCTCACCCCTCCCCCTCCCTCCCCACGAGACATTGCGGACAAACCGGGCAATCAGGCACAAGAGGAAAAAGGGACCAGGTGGAGACGTCTCTGCGGGGTGCGTGCCTCATTGCCCTAGCTGGTCGCAGCTACGTCATGATTGGTCCCATGTAGGAATTGTATAGAAGGGGGGGCAAGGGACAAAATGGCGCCTCTCTTGCTATTAGAGTCATGGAGTTGGTGTAGGGGTACCGGGAATTTGACACGGCCACTCCCACCAAGTTTCCCTTTACGACCTTGTCGGGCAGCAGCGGGGCAGCGGCTATGAGGCCCCTCTGTTGTATCCTCCGCCAGTGGGGTGTACGGAAGCAGAAGCCAACGCCGCCCTAAGTGCCACTTCCCTCCTAAGTGGCTATAAGGGGGGGAATCAAATCTGCCCCTCGTTACGCCTGCACTGCCCCCTCCAAAGTCAGACACTCAACACTCGACCTCTCTGGGCCAGCTCCCCTCTGCTATCCCTGCGCCTTCTGGCCATTCTGCCTCCTGCAAGGCACGTCAGCCGATTACCACTGTCAAAGTGGGAGAACGGGTAAAGGGGGGGGTGGGCTGCGGAGTGGTTTCGGCCCGCTTCTTTACACTACGTCCCTCCAGAGTAGTGGAAGAAGGAGGGGCCCCTGCTCTGCTAACCCCATAGGACATAAAAAAATGCTTTGGAGCAGAGTCTTCTGGGGGGGAAAATATGGCAGTAGAGATCATGTGACTTTCACTGGTGCCCCCCTGTT